TCTGTTCTGGGAAATTATTCAGATGTATCGAGGTGTAAACAATCCCTTCCTGTAGGAGGAGCCCAGGAAGGAAGCTAGGTGTCTCCTCTTGTTCTTCCCTCAGAACTGGGACTGATTCATACAGCGATCTGAAAGTAAACTGAGGTTGGCTCAATTGAGATAAGGCACTTGTGAGGCTTGTCAGAAAGGAGAGCATTCAGAGGGACAGGGCAAGCACTCTCTGTTGTGGGTATCTGTCTAGCTCCTGCATAAACAGGTGTATTTGTTTAGATATGTTAACATCCTTTGCTGCAGGGAAAGGAACCAAATCAGAACGCTCGGTCATTAACTGCTGCAGGGAAAGAGTGCATGCTAGAGGAATGCAAAGGGAGTTCTTTCTGCCAAGGGGAGATTAAAGAATTTTACAAATAGGAGTAGAGAAAGCAAGTAGTACTGGAGATCCTGTCTGTACATAAAGGAGGTGAAGCCCAGTATGATAGAGAGTCCCTGTTGCTTCTTTAAAAACACAAGGACAAAACAAAAAAGAGTGGCTGAACAGGAAGCAAGGCAGAAAGCAAGATCCTTTAAAAACTGTCAGCAGCCAGGGAGGGAAGGAAAAAATCTGAATGTATGCAGAGCACTGTTGACTTGATGTTCACCCCGATGTCCTGCTACAGTGAGATAGGCTTTCAAAAGAACCAAAAGCAAAAACAAAAAAACCCAACCACCCCAAAAACAAAGCGTGCTCCCACTTCCCTGGGTCTGTGCCAGACTGTAAATTTTACTTTTAAAGGCAGAGTTGGCGTGGAGATATTTGACAGGACTCATGCTTCTAAATCACATGGGTGCTTTTGTAAACATTACTTTGGGGTATACTTAATATCTCCACTATTAATCGGGTTGCGGAGACTTAAAAGGCCATTAATGGCATCAACAAACGCTATTTAGCTGGGCTGAATTGCAAATGCAAGTTTAGACAGAGAACAAATACAACGTGACTTTGGAGAGCCAAGCAAAAAATTAGCATTTTGATCTTGGAAAAACCCTCACAAAACAAACACCTGTGTTAATTAACCCATAAAAAAACACAGCCTATAAAGAAGGGAGGAAAACCTTGGTGGATGTGATAGTGGGAGAACTTGTGCTAGTTAAAGACAGACATGCGGCTTGAGAAATGGAAGGCAGTAGGTGCCAATACATGGAGCAGACTTGATAAGACCTTGGCATGTAGTTTGGCCACAAGGACGGTCACTGGAGTTTGGTCCTACTAAAGCAAAGCACGCACAAAGCAATCTTGCTCTGAAATCTGTGGCACACCAAGCCAGGGTCCAGTGCTAACCTGGGTGTTGTGCCAGGCAAACCAACAATAGTGATGGAGGGCCGGGATGGATCACAAGGTTTTTTGAAGACTGCAGTGGGACAATGACCCAAACCTGTTGGTTTGGATCTATGATGGCTGGCTGCATTTATGGGGGCATGGTAGTACCTACTCACACTTAATTGTTTCTACATAGCCAGGACAGAGAGTTTAACAGGGTGCTTGCCTGTTTGTAAAGGTATAATTGGGAGTGGGAGAATAGGGTTAAAGGAAAATTTACCTTGAATATCATGGGGAAAAGATTAAACAGGGAATTGCACAAGAATGAGAACAGTTCCTGAGGCTTCCAGAGAAGGTAATGGCTTGTGTTCCATGAAGTCCAATTCTGTGTTGTCACAGAGGACAGGAGGATAACCGAGAAATGTTTTTCTAAATACATTAACTGCATAGTACTTCAGATAGATGGATGTTCATTTCTATATTCTCAATGTTCTTATTACCTCTTAATAATTACTTTAATAATTAAAAGAGCACCATGGCTGGAAACATGAAGTGCTCAGAAATGAGAAATTCTAAAGTCACGATTACTCTTTGTGCCTAATCTCAGCCTTCTATATGCATCTGCGTTGTGTCACAGTCACAAGGTGATCACTGTATAGGATAGATCGCTGCTGTGTTCCCTGAGTAACTATTCAGAATTTTTTCTTACCCTCATCACTTGACCTCAGACCTTGTTTACCGAACACCACTTAAGCTTTGGGTAGAGTGCAAACTGATTACATTTCCTCATGGGCTTTTCTGTGACACTTTCACTCTAAATCCGAGCAGTTCACAAATATGTAGAGATTTCCCCTTACTGCAGCTCTTGCGAAAAGAAGAAGGAGCTAGCACCACTTCCATTTTACTGAAGTGAAATGAGGACAGAGAGATTAGAGGAGCTGGGATCACTAACTGGCTATTCACTTTACAGTTACATGTTTGTTTTTCTTCTTCATTTTTTTAAGTGCACACTATATATGTTTAGACAATGGCATGTTATTAAAATCTACAGAGTGCAGAGGATTACTGTTGTGAAAGACAAAATTGCAGATATATAACAAAAACAATTGCTTTTGGCAAATGTAAGAGCTGAGCAATTACTGTGAGAAAAGGACAAGAAAAAGAAAATTGTTGAGAGGACTGGGAGGGAGTGTGGAGAATGGTGTGTGGACGAGAAAGTCTAATGATGGGAAAAGTTCAGAGAATAAATAAGAGCACTTGAGAACATCCTTGGGCAAGACATGAAGTTCAGATGAGAGAAGAAAAACTGAGCAGCCTCTAGAACGCCCTTGTTAGTGAGCTTTGATGCTGAAGACACCCAAATTGGAGAGGGAATCAGGGAATGAGAGGGATTGTGCTATAGGGAACTTCTGCCAGGGTTTCTGCTGGGAATGCCCAGGATTCTTGAACCTCTAGAGCTAGAGACTCCCATAATGTTACTCTGAAGGTACTTTGCTTGCAATGCAGATCACTTGGTACTTTTGCCAGTCTGACCCCAGGTGTCTGTAGCCTGGCAAACACAGCAGGAGCTATTGGCCAACTGTGAAAATGCTTAAGTGACAGCCGTAGGAGCAGGGCTAGGCAGCGTTCAGCTGCATTAATGAGCAGATAATCTCTTCTTCACCTCCAATTCCCTCACTCATTTGCTACACACCCCCAGCTTGGCAGTCAAGGAGTCAGGGGTCCTGTGGAAAAATCCAACAAAGCTACGTGATCATGTCTTTAAGGGCTGTACTATAATGCACAGGCACAAGAAGGGGGAATTAATGTTGTATGGCAAGCCTCCAGACTAGCATTTCCTCACTCCACTGTGCAGTCATAATGTATCTTTTGTACAGTTCCCCGTGTGCATAGGGTTTTAGGGGAATTGCAACAAATGACTTTCAGTGTCTTGAATGCACCTCTTTCTGTCACTGTGGTCTTGAGTGATGCATCCCATGCACCATGGTGCTCCCCTTCTCGTCTTGCCTCTTTCTCTCACCCACACCCACCTCTCAGCTCTGAATGACGCCCCATACTTTTTTCTCACTCTTAGCCTCCAACTCCTTCCATTTGTATCTCCATTTACCTTTCTGCCCCAGAAGACAGAATAGGTCCAGGTCTCTTTGAGCTGGAGACCACAGCAAATGGCAATGGTGGCAGCAGCAGTTGGTCCCAATGCCCTCATGTCCTTGTGAGGGGGCACATGGGTGTACCTCCACCTCCTGCAAGACAAGACACAGAGCCAGGAGGGATGTCCTGGAATCCTTCATGGAATACAGTGCTTGGCCTGCTTCTTCTGCTCACAGAATGCTAACGCTGACTTTTCTGAGGCTTATGAGCTGGCCATGCAGGTGCAGTTTTAAGGAAGCTGCCAAAAGCACATTCTTGAGAGGAAGGCAGACCTTCATTTGGGTGCCAGCTCTTAAGCACAGGAGTCACACAACAGTAAGGCGGCTTCATGACGAAGGAAACAATGCATTTTTCTTCTTGTTGTCAGAAATAGCCGCACCACTTGAGGAGAAATGCAAAAACCAAAAATGAATAAAATAAATTAGCTTGAGGCAGACACCCAGCATAGGGATTTGCCAGCCATATCGTTAGTGTGACAGTTACAAGTATCTGATAACATGCTTTTAATAATAATTATTAGACTACTTCAGCATTAGGTGAGACCACCTCTAGTGAAAGCATGTCACTTTTCTCTTTTTAAAGATGATTTTTCAATACTCAGCACAGCAAAAAATTTGCTGAAGAAGCACAGTGATGGGGTGAGAAAGGTCCCGTGAGTAGCTGCTGCTGTTACACCATGAATGTGTCAGAGGACAGCGGGTGCCTCTCCACCAGTTGCTCTGCTGCTGGGTCCTGTTCCCTTCTGCCCTTGGCCCCGCTTCCTGGGCACTCTGCCTTCTCACCCACTGCAGCTGCTCCCTCTGTGCCTGCCTTTTCCCTCAGGGCAGCTGCCCAATCAGCCTCCAAAGAAATCTCCTCCTTGCCTGTTCCACTGCTGGCTTAGGCTGATGCTGCCTTCCTTTCCCTTTCCCTCTACTGTCAGTGTACCTCACTGGTCTTTTGGAGAAGTCTCTCCCTTCCTAATCTTCTGTAAGATGCATGAGAGAGGGCCAAAATCTTAACTTCTGTCACCCTTCTCTGGAGCCAAGGCTGGATCAGTGGCCTAGTGACTTCAGTGGGACAATCCCAGTAAACGTCATCCAAGACTTGCTGTAGTCAGTTGACCAATGCCAACTTATACCAGCAGAAAACCTGGTTTGTTGGCTTGGGTTTCAGAGTAGCTTGGCTGGTCTGCGTCAGAGGGCAAGCCAAACCCTGACTGCAAATGAATGCAGAAATAGTCAGACACAACTGTGTACTCATTGATGTCCCTTCCAACCCAGGCCATTCTGCGATTCTGTGATTCTCTGATACTTCCTCCTCTTCCATGTCATCCTCCTACTTCTTTCATCCCAGAAACATGTAAACATAGAGGAAGTAAGTGTATACACAAATTTTCAGTTGTTGTGTGCATTGATTCTTGCTCTGTTTCATTTTTGGAAGATTCTGTTTGTCTCAGGAGATACAGCACACAATGCTTTACTGTGTTTGCATGAGCTGTTCCTGCTTGTTCCCATCATCAGTAGTGCATTTAATCTCAGCAGCATGTCTGTCATGATTTAATCATGTCCTGGGCCATCAGCTCTAGGCTCACAAAGTGTTCTTCTAGATTCAGAGGAAACTGCTGTCTGCCTTATTTATCACCCATGAGATGCTTGGGCAAATCAAGACAATCACGTGCAAGACCTAGCATTGTTTTCTTCAGCAGTGCAAACACTCGTTCTCTTACTTCCGCTCTCTCTGTGCGCACTTCAGGCCTCTGCTCAGTCATGCAACAAGTTCAGTGAAGTTGGAGATTCATGAAATTGGAGACTGATTATATTCGTGAGTCTCTACCTGTGGCATCCATGAAGAACTTTGTTATGCTTAACAAGTCAAAAAATATGCAACTTGGATTAATATCATTACGTACTACAAGTGAGTAAACTTTTCTTGTTGTCACTCTGCCTTGGTTTTGTCTGGGAAGCTATAGGTTGTGAAAATCTCATTATGAATTATGGATAAAATATTTCTGAAAGCCAGAACATTACATTAACAATTTTAGTGTCAATATCTGTTAAAAATAAGAGATTGCTTGCTCTTTTCCTCTTCCCTTTCCCTTTCCTTTTCCTTTCCCTTTCCTTTTCCCATTCCCGTTCCAATTCCCATTCCCATCCCCATTCCCATTCCCATTCCCATTCCCATTCCCATTCCCTTTCCCATTCCCATTCCCATTCCCATTCCCATTCCCATTCCCATTCCCTTTCCCCTCCCTTTCCCTTTCTCTGTCCCTTTCCTTTCCCTTTCCTTTCACTTTCCCTTCCTTGCCTTTTACTTTTTTTTTTTTTTTAACTAAAACTTCATTTTGTTCAACTGAAACCTTTTACCGCTTACAATTTACAGTAAGTGTGTGCAGAAATAATTCCTGATACTCAGTGACAGCTCTGTCCCAGACAATTATGTCCTGAGCAGACACTTTAATTTTTACAGGGTTTGTAGCATCTGTATAGTGAAATGTTTTGGAACCTGTCCAATAAATATATCAAAGGTGTTCAGCCCCAGGCTTTCCCTGCCAAAGGAGATCTGAAAAACTTTATCTGTGCATCTAATCTGCTGAAGAATTTGGCTTCCACCAACTGAGTCAATATTTCAGTCCAAGTGGAAATTTTCTCTTTGAATGTTTCAGAGGCCATTTAAGGCTGAATCAACCATGCTCTCCTCCATAATTAGAAAGGAGCAAGCATCCCCTTCTGTTTTGCAAATACTGCCACTTGCTGTCATGCAGTATCTCCACGGCCTTCCACTGCAAGGCTGGAGGAATGCTTTGGATCATCTAGATCCAAGTTTCCATGACATCTCCATCTTCATTTGGATTCCAGAAGTGCTTTGCTGTGACTGAGGTTTCACTCTCCTAGACACTGTTCAAAAGCATAATGAAAGACCATCTCAACTTCCATTACATTACAGATCAACAAAGGAAAATGAACTATGCCTGTTGCTGTTTCTGTGGAAGGAGTAAAGGTTCACTTACTGTCTCCTCAGTTGTCTTGTAGCCATTAAGTCATCCTTCCATCCAGTTTTATTTAGCTTGCTTTCCTAGAAAACTCTTCTTTCTTTCTTTGAGTCAATTATTATCAATGTTTTATGACTCAGGATTGTCCCGCAGGTTATCATTCCTTCCATTTCTTTCTGTGAACATAAATTTAAAAGGTAAGGCAGGACTGCAGACAACATCACATCTATCCCACTGGAGGAACCTCTGTTTTCTACTTCCAGCCCAGTGTACAGCTTGTCCATTACAAAATGAAGGGGTATCTTCTGGTTAATTGTTAGAGTGAACTAAGCTCTGGTAGTCTGCTATATGGATGCCCTGATATTTTAGATATTTTAGATATTTGATCTCTTTTCCTTGCTATTTGCTACAGCAATTTCTTTTCTGTTGGGAGATTCCTTCTTTCTTTACAACATTGCTTCTGTCTACTGAGTTCCCAGTCTGAGTTATTCTCCTATAGTCTTTGAAACTCCTAGTGGAAGCTATTGGAGTTACTGGAGACAGGCGCTGCTATCACAATCAATACTGGAGTGAACGCCTTGTCCTATGTGATCTCCACCCTTCAAAGTGACAAAGTCTTGGTTCCTTTCTTCTTCCTTTGTTTCGTGACTATACATGACAGGCTTCTTGGCTGCTTTAAATGAATGTAACTTCACCAAAATCAATGGATATCAATTTATATCATTCAGCAATCTAAGTAGGTCACTCTGAAAGTAATACCTACCAATTTATTTCCATGGAAACTACAACAGATACACAGAGCACAATAACACTATTCGATAGAGCACATTCTCAGGTACAAAACATTACTTTTCAACAGTCACTATCATTAGATCTGCACTTTCTCTGGTGATGAACGAGAGCCTACGTGCTGCACTCATCAAAATCTGCACCAGCAGAGATAACCCACTGTTTCACAGCTGATACAACAGCATCGTTGCTAGGAAAATGTTACCTGCACAGTCCAACTTTCACTGTTTGGTCACCATAAACATTCAGCAAGCATCAACGAGCACCATATTTTCCCTCATGGAGGAATTTGGTGACACGCCTTTGCTTCATAAAAACTTCCATGTCAGACACTGTTCTGTCAGACTGCCCCTCTGCTGCCATCTGTCACATGGTGACAAAATGTCAGGGAATATTGACAGGAAGGTTCAACCTCTATGGCCGTACCACTAACACACACCTCTGACATCACAGGCCAACGTAGTAACACAGGAGGCAATTACTTTTGGAGAAGCCCCTGTAATGTAAAGTCACTAAGGAGGGAATCAGTCACTTGTTGAACTAAAAAACACTACTTTCTGAAATGTGCTAAATTTCTTTTTGTTTCATTTTGTTATTCTTATTTTTCCCAGTGTCTCCTCTCCTTTCTAAGTAACCAGGAACAAAGTAAAAATCAATAGCTGAAGAGCTGCTGCCTCTTTTTTTCCTACTCATGGTATAATTTGCTGATTTAATAATTTCACAGATCTTCCTTTGTCACTCCTAAGCTTCAGAGCTTCTTGCAATGGTTATACCAGCCTGATGTCTTATTTAAACTGAGTGGCTTCCTGCTGAGTAACATTGGACGGGCTCATCAAATCCTGAAAAACAACTTTTCCTTCTGCAACAGTGTGCAACAGTAACTATGTTTTGAACCAAGAGCTGATGTGACTCAGTAAGCCACAGGATCAGGGCACAGATGCTCCTTGTGGAAGGGAGGGCAGAGATGGACACTTCATAGGTAGTGGCTCTCCTACTAGACAGAAGGCTGAGGAAGCAGAGAGATAGCCTGATGGGAAAGGCAGCAGAGAGGAGATCATATTGCCTCCTACCACCACGTATTTACCATTCTCTGAATCAACATTCCCCTTCCGTGGTTCCAAAATTAAGCCACAGCTTTAAACTTGAAATGTTTAAAGAAAGGAGGGGGGAAAAAGTGTCTGGGCCATTCTTCAAAAGCCCTGTGTAAACACTGGGTGACCCGTTCCTTGTTCTTTTCCTAACCTGGCTGAACTCTGGAAGCAAGCAATAAACAGCAAAGGTTAATTAAATCCATTTCTAAGTTTAACACCCGCGGCTCCCCACCCTGTCCTAACCAGACTTTGGGGGTTGTATGTTATGGGCAAATATAACCTGGTTTGAATTCCAAAACATGATTTCAAGCTTCCTTTAGAGACAAAGAAAACTGATTTCTATATGCTGAAATGAGTCATTCAAGACAGGGAACCTAATTAGGGTTGCAGCAGCAGCAGCTAATTTCCCCACCAAAAAGAAATTTTGTGCACTAAAGAATGAAGTGCTAGTTCCGGGCAGCAGCACCAGGCACTCAGTGTAATTATAATTTATATGGCCCTCACTGCTGCGGTAGTTAAGTACTTGACAAGAACCAAGGGATTTGCTCCGAGGTAGGGAAAAGTTTTCTCTTTTACAACCAGGGAACCACAGTGCAGAGAGATGAAACAGCATGCCTCTGACTGTTGAGTGGATCTGGCCAGTCTGGACTCTGGCTGCCCTAGACCATCACTAATTCTTTCAGCAGGAGCTGCAGACTTTGCTTTCACCTTAGCCTTTGCCCTGCTCACAGCCCTGGGAAATCTTGATCCTCCTTTCAAGCAGGTCAGTGAAGGGAAGGAGCAGTCTTCCCTCAGCAGTAGGGCCAGATATACCCAGCTCCAAACCAAGACTGAGTCACTCTGTTCACAACATGAAACTGGGAAATATTCCATAGATTTCAGAGGTGAAGAGCTCAGTCTTCAGTTTTCAAAGGATGTCAGTCTGCTTTAGCTGTACCTTTCCTCTTTTTGGGGAACTCATACCTGATCCAGAGCTGTCACCATTCTGATGCTTCACCAGAACACCAGGTACCCAACAGGTATAGATGTGAGTAACCCTAAGAACTCCCTGGCTTGCAAACTACACAACAGGTTGCCTTGTCCTTTATTTTTTTGTGACTCCAGTAATAGTATAATTTAAAGTTTTCCTTTGAGTCCAGGAAGAACATCAGTTCTTGCTAATGTTAGGGAGGGGAGAAGACATACTGCTTTGCTTCAACAAAAATCTCTTCTGTAGAAAAGCAAACGTCAGGCAGGAAACCTACAGTGGAAAATCTTTTTTTTTTTTTTCAAACTGAGACGTTTTGGGTTTTGTGCTGGGTACTCAATACCAGAATCCCTTGGAGGCCAACAGAAGCTGCAGCCTTTGCCACTGCCTATGAACTACATTTTGAGCCAAGTGGGAAAAGGCCAAATCCACTTAGGAGTGGGGGCTGAAATGCCTATGAAACCAGGCCCTGGCCCCAGTCTCTTCTTCTGGTATGAGAGAGATAAGAGGGGCGCTGGTTTCTTGCTCTACCAGGAGTGCTGGTTCATCCCAGAGACACACAACTGCTGGGTGGTTTGGCATAGTACAGAGGCTTCATCCAGCCAAAGAGCTTAGCACTGCTGGAGACTTTTCTCGGGGCCCCAAATCTGCTTTCTTTCAGTCTTGGGGGCTTTGTTCAGTTTTGGAGGTCAGCCTAGAGCAGGCTGAGCAGCTAGATAGGGTTTCACTTTCACCATAAGAGGATATCTTTGTCGTAGGAAGCTCTTACAATAACTCTGTAAACATGAATGAACATGTTTGCCTGATAATGTCAAGTGAAAAATCCCATATTTTTCTCTTTCTTAATGAGCAAGGCTTGCCCTTCAGTGTCTCTGACCTGTAGCACATGTTATTACTGTCGGGTGACAGTGCTGTAATCCCATTCTTGCACTTGATTTATGGAGGCAGGGCTCGGGGCTGCATCAGGTCAAGGCCCCGTTACGCTAGACACTGTACGAGCTCTTAATGAGGGAGTCAGGCTGTATCTCGGAAAGGATGGACAAGGACTGGGAGCAAAAATGAAGGCCCAGAAGCTGAACCTGGGGCAGGACAAACGTCTCCTGAACCCTGGAACAATATCCCAGCTGCTGACTTTGTTGCACTTAAAAAATTTTCCTGACTTTCTGCGGTCCTAGCTCTGGCGCCAGAAGATCTTTCTGTTTTGTAGCTGTTTCACCTAATGGGTCAAGCAGCAATTATTTGATGCACAGACACAATAGTGGGTTTAAGTGACACATATGAACTTGATTATGATTTCGTATGGGGAGACAACCACATCTGCTATGCTTCAGGCATGATTCAGGGGATGCTTTTTTCCAGCTCCTCAGGTTGGGAGTGCCTGTGTGAATGTAACCACAGTGACGCACAGAAGAAAGGATGGGTCCAGCAATTAAATAGAAAAAGAAGAATGCCTTATTAATGACCTCAGGCAAGATGCTGATGAGCTCTGCGTGGTGCCCCAAAGGTTAGCACGAGCTGCCTCACGTGAACAGGAAACTGGGGCAGACAGCAGAGCATGTCTTTCACATTTAATGGGATCTCGTTCTCTCCAAGAGGAACAGCATGAAGCAAATGGACCATCCAGCACTGACTGCAGCTTGTGTGTGGTCTGTAACTATGTGTGCAATCCCATAAGGACACCTACTCAAGAGATAGTTTCTATGAAGTGTTTTGGGCAAGGGGAGAGCAGCCATGCTGGAGGCTGGTGGAAAGCAGCACCTCAGCAGCCTCCTGCCATGTCAAGACAACGCTGGTCTGCAAATATTTCTTGGTAAACTGTGGAGACTGTGGTGCAGAAAAGGAGAAAGAGAAAGGGTTCCTCAAATTCAAACATCCTCAAATACAAGCTGGAGATTATTGTCTTTCCCCTGCCCCTTCCCCATCACAGATCACTTGGAAGACTCTGTCCTCTTGCCATGACAGAGGTCCCAAGTGCTGACCATTTCCATCACCAACACAGAACGGGGAAGACCCTTGGTGAGGCCAAGTAGAAGCACTTCTCTCTGCTTTGGAATCAGACTATATTTTTGGGAAAGGAAGAGGACAGAGGGAGAAAGGAACAACAAATCCTCTTTTGCTCTGAGATGTGCACATGTGTTTTCTGATGGTTACCTTATTATAAGTTCTTCCATTTCACCCCTTTCACCATTCTCTAATAATTCCAATAAATGTCAGATCCGATCTCAGTTAATGAAATGTACACCTATTAAATGACCAAAGTGGAAAAATGGCCCACCCTGACTCCCTGCCTTGAGACCCAGCTGCAACGCCTGCTTTTTACCCTGCAGTCAGATGATTTTACCAGGTCTCAGGAAATTTCTAGTAAAATAAACAAATTTTAAAAATCCTATGGGACTTCCAGCTTGCTTCATGAAGGAGCCCTCAGATGTTATTGAATACGAGGAGCCATTTGGTTCATGTGTGACTGCAAGCACTAACCAAAGGCAGCATAATGGGATAGGTATTTACAACATAACCATTATCTTATCAGAGCTTCAGGTATAGCTGTAAATAGCCTGTTCCAGCTGGGCAATCTGCTGAGTTAAATGGGTTCTACTTTTAGAAGCAGGAACTGGAGAACATGTCCCACTTAAATGCAGATTCACTTGCACCCAAGGGATGGAAACTCAAACAGCTGACCCTGGCCATGGAGGAGGTCCGTGTTCTGTGCAGTGTTGCTCCCTCCCTCTGACGCAGCAGGCTGAGCTCACACGGTTTGCACTGCTAGCACAAGTGCTCTGTTGACAGAGTCCTGTTTGCAGCTCACCAACCGTAGAGAATTGCAGTTCCTTGGGTGGGAGGTGATTTTGCACAGTCAGACAAAAAGAAAGTCAAGGCTGAAGGTGGAAGAAGAGAGACTATTTTAGAAGAAGTGAGAATAAGAAAGGGAGAGGGCAGAGAAGGATTGAGGAAGGAGAACATGAAAAACAAGACTGGAGAAAGAACAAATGTTAAAGGACAAGCTTTGCCACTGTCTCCTTGGCTGTGACCTGCCTGAATGGGACAAAGTGTTTACTCTCTGCATGCTGCTATGCACTGAGTGCCAGGTAAAAAGACTGATCTTCCACACCCTGGCAGTATCTTTCTTGTGCAGTGTCAGCAGGAAACAAATCTGCTAAACCTAGACTCAGTCCCTGGGTTTCAAAGGAGACTTGTGAAGAATCAGAATTGGGTTGCATTAAGTTTGAAGTTGTCTAAAAATGGGAATTATTTCAAGGAAATGAAAGTAAGAAGTTTTTATCTCAGATGTGAGAAATTTGCAGCCCATTCCAGCCTGATAGAGATTAAGTCTCCAGTCCTCCAGTAACATCCTGAAAACAATTCTACAAGAGAGTTGTCAGAAGATGCTATCCAAAATTTTGGTGGGCTAGGTGGATGAAACTAAATCTTGCTTATTATTGGATGTTTGGCATCAACTGGAGAGTGGGTGATTTGTGGTGACCAACCATAAGGGAAGGTGGAAGTGGACTTGAGTTGGCAAGTAACGCCAGAGGCTTAGGAGTCTAGAGAAAACCAGCCCCTGGAAGTGTTAAGTGTTAAGGAGTGAGCCAGGGGTACTGAATCTACTCACACAAGTATACCAGGGCACAAAAACTGAGCCAGGGTAAACAGAAAGCAGACGACAGATTAATTTGCAATAAACATGGAAGCAGTTGCAACAGAAATCAATGTGCTTGATGAAGGCTATTTAGTTACAAGCTCTCAATAAAAGTATTCCATATCATGAAAAGTATGCAGCTTTTGGCAGTTTGCAAAGACATACAAAACCAAAGTGCATTTATGAACATATAGTTGGGGGAACAAGGACTTGGAACATTCTAAGAAAGAGAAGTTCTTCAGGCTTCCACTTACATGTACATGATAAAGCTCAAGAAGAGGTAGCCCTATGATACTGAGGTGAGACAGACACCATCAAATTCTGAAACAGTGTCATTATGAACAGAAACTTTTCTACCCTTATATTACAGACTGTGAAGAGAACAGATTGCAAACAGACATTAGGAGAAGGACTTGGTGTTGCTGGCTGATGAAAAGCTCAATTATGAGACAGTAATATGCATTTCAGCAGAGAAAAACAACTGTATCCTGTGCTGAATCAAAAGAAGTGAAGGACAGGCCAAAAGTGGTGATTCTCCTCTTCAACTCTGCTCTTGTGAGATCCCACCTAACATACTGGATTCAGCTTTGAGCCCCTGCAGAAGAAGGAAATGGACCTACTGGAGTGAAACCAGAGGAAGATTGTGAGTATGATGAGAGGGTGGGAGCACCTCTCCTTTGAAGACAGGCTGAGAGAGTTGGCGTCCTTCAGCCTGGAGAAGATTCCAGACAGACCTTATTAGTGGTCTTCCAGTACTTACAGAGGTCCTACAAGAAAGCTGGAGAGAAACGTTTTACAAGGGTAGGCAGTGATAGGAGTAGAGGTAATGACTTTGAACTGAAAGAGGATAGATTTAGAGCAGATACAAGGAAGAAATTATTCATGATGAGGGTGGTGAGGCCCTGGAACATTTTGCTCAGAGAAGATGTGAATGCCTCATCCCTGGAAGTGTTCAAGAGCAATTTGAACGGGGCTTTTAGTACCCTGGATTAGTGGAAGGTGTTCCTGCCCATGGCAATGAGATTGCAACTAAACCTTCTCTAAGGTCCTTTCCAATATAAACTGTTCTCTGATTATATGATTCTATGTTAATCAAGACAAAATGGCAGTGCAGTCATACGCAGTCACACAGGACGGGAAGAGTCCATGTTGCCAAGCTACATGGGATGTTTGCAGAAGAGCAGATGCTAATCAGGACATAGAGAGCAGAGGAAGCCCAAGGCACATGCATATCTGGGTTGAATCAAAGTTTACAATGCAGATGCATAACTTGTTCACCGAACAGATGCAGCATCTCTTTTTAAAGAGCTGGTGGGTGGCCCTAACTACTATGAGAGGGTTTGAAAACAACATAAATACTCTCGCTGATGGGAATACCCTAATGACCGTCAAACTACTTGTAAGAATTAAGTCCGACGAGGACAGAGAAGGTTGTTAGAGTTTACCTAAATTTTGGGCATTTGCTGAGCAAATAGGCACCAGCTGGGCAAAAACCAAACACCTCTTCAACAGCCTGAAATGATCTGAGTAGAATTAGAATTTGGTGAGGAGATGAGCAGGGTTGAAAATGGCTCATAGCTGGAAGCAGTAGTGAGGCTGTCATGCAATAGGAAGAAACAAAGATCTTTCTGGAAGGGGAAATGGGTCACCTATGAAATGCAGGCACATGGCAGGAAGGCATTTTAGGAGCTTAGACATTGTGGTGAGTGTTCTTCCACTGCTCATTTTGCTTCTTATATACGACAAGGACAAATTGTTGCTGTACCTTGTGGCAATGTCACTTAAGCAGCCAATGCCCACTGCCCAAAGCAGACACTTGGGATTTGATCTCATGGGAGCTGGTGAATGGGCTGTATTGAGGACATTATTTTTCCAGGACTTCCTATAGGTGGATGTACAAACCCAGATCTCTTCCACAACAGATATTCTGAGCAGGGGGTTTACCTTTGGCAACAGTTTCCATTGGTGGCTTGCCTCTCAAGGGTCAGCCACAGAACAGGTTGGGCAGTCAGACATGGAAAACAGGAGGGCAAGAAGTCATCATTCAACTCCCTTATTCCTTTCCTGAGGCTGGCAGGGCTGCCACCCATGCTCAGCTGCACATCCTGAGATCAGTCTTCAGCTTATGCCACTCAAGAGGGTCTGAGGAGGTTCCTTGGAGGATGTGCAGCTTGAACAAGGACATAAGGTAGGGCTGAAGAGAACATACAGGTGTGCCTGAGTATTTTGGAGTGATGTTACAGCTTTGATCTAGAGGCTGTCTGGAGTAGGAGAACCTCTTGCTCCTGTTTGAGAGATGGAATAAGCTATCTGCACAGAAGACACTGCAGGGAGAAGCATGAAGGTAATTCACAAAGGGTGGCTGAAGGATAAAAAGGGAACTGTGTTGTGAGGCTAGAATGACATGTGCATAAATAGTGGACGTCAGCACACAACACAGGCAGGTCCTTCACAGGGTAACACAGGGAGCTCTTTTAAACACACACGTACACGCACACACAAAAAGAACAATTTATGGTTGTGTCAGATTCACGTCTGGGCTTCTCATTAAAATTAATGAGGTAACGTCTCTGAGGCACTCTGAAACGGATGCAGCCTAGAGAGTGAAGGAAAGACCTCTATCACTTTCAAATAGCTACTTAGCAAAACCAAGTGCAATTTTTATTTTCTATGACCACACATCAAACTCACCAAGAACAGAGAACACTGTTTAAATTCATAAGCAATTGGCCTTTCTTCAGATATTTTTAATACAATGACCAAAATTAAGTGGCCAAACTCATTATGAAAACATAAAAAAATTAATCTGTCTGGAAGAGGTGCTAACCCAGTCCTATTTTGTATCACTTATGGAACTATATGGAGGTGAAGACTGGATTATTACAAATACTTTAATTAATTGATGTATTTTCTTTAGTCTACAGAATTAAAGAAATGAGAGAAGATGTAGTGGCAAAATGGTGTGCAACTGCCTGTCCCAAACTCTATCACAACCCTGGAAGTGGATATACAAGACCTCAGTCTTCCTATCCATCTGTTGAATGCAAATAGCTGAGAAAATCCTACCCAGAATGAATGTCCTACTCATTCCCCTTCTGTATGGGAACTGCTGAATCACGGCCTGAACCTTTGATTGATCATCTGAGGCGAGCAATGAGTCAGCCACAGAGCACAGGTGAATTGCCTTCACCTGTGCTGATGGAAGGGGTGAAGCCTGGCTGCACCTCTCCTGACCCATTTAAGAGCTGAATACCAGTGGGAAAGGATCTTTTCTGGAGATCTCTCCTCTGGAGTTTTGCAGTAAGCTCAGAACACAGGTAAGCATCCTATTCTATTCTTTTTGTTATTATAACCTGCTTAACCAAACTCTCTTGTTTATTTCATAGTTTCATAACATCTTCATATTCATTGATTATTCACCTTCTTTCTCTTCAACCTGTGGCTAGTCTACAAAGAAAAGAACAGCTTTCCTAATCTGACAGATCTGCAGTGCACACCTTTATTACTTGACTGAAACTAATAACTTTTCCATGGCAGACAAAATGGCTTATCAATATAAATCTATGCAACAAGATATTTAGTTCAGTTCTTATCTAAAAGATTTTGGTTTTGTTGTGGTGCCTCATGTTAAAGCTGCAGAGTTGATCACTTGCCTAGGAGATGTGAAATTTGAGGAATGCCTCTGCTGTGAACTTCAGAGGCGTTTTGCTGCACTCTAGTTACATGAACACATACTGTATTTTGATACAACCACTGCCTGATTTGACTGAGGAGGAGGAAGCCGTTGTGGGTTACCTGTGTTGAGTGGCCCCGATGCCATTAGTATGATGTTACAGCAGGGAACATCCTGTAAGAGAGGCAGAGAGATGCTGTGCTGGAGAAACAGATGTGCTCCTCCCTCTCTGGGCAGAGTTCATTCAGCCCAGACTTTGTTTGTCACTCACTACATGCCACGTTTTTCGTGCAGACAGTGTTTGTGGCAGTGCTAAGCACGCACACCTGGAAAGGAAGTTAGTGGGAGCTGTATGCTGAGTGTATAAAACACTGAAAGCTTGCCAGCAGCTTTGGGAAACAGAAGCTTAAGTGCCTTCATTTTGGCACCCACAATTAGTGAGAAACGTCAGGCAACTTTGACCTCTCTATTTTATTGTGTGTCTGAACCACCTCCTCTCCCATGCACTCTATGGGGGAATAGGCATCAGTTTGATTTGAGGGTAAGGCCACAAGGAAACTCAGTAATAATGATTACAGGACAAAACAGGAAAGAAAAAAGGAGGGAAAAAAAAAAAAAGGAAAAAAAAAAAAAAAAAAAAAAAAAAAAAGGCAGTGGAAAACAGGCCTGCAGGCCATGCACTGGGTAGGGCAGGCAGCTAAGCTGAATAATTATGCCCAGAATCAAAACAGCTGAAAAAGAGTATGGGATCATGAATCTGAGTGCTGTACAGTGCCATATGCTCAAGGTTGTGCATGCAGATTGCAGATGCAATGTGAAGTCTGCAGGCCCCAGCTTCCGATGGGCAGGCTTCACTGGATGCATGTTTGCTTAGTGTAGGTAGGTGCCTGTGTGCCAAGCACTAGGAGGATGTGGAGTAGACACCCAGTGCTGGAACATACCCCTTTCCCACCAGCTGAGCATCTCCCTCATGTCTCCTTCTTGTCTTTCACACTGCTTGATTTATGAAGGTCCCCAGTCAGGATGCCCTGTTCTGTATTAAATAATTGGTCCTACCCCTCCTTGTGCCTACAGGTTGGCTTGTTGCCTGCTGTCTCAACCCCTTCGTTTTACTGCATGAAAGAAGCAGACTCTGAAGTTCATCCTGACTTTTCCTGTCCACATATATCAGGAAGTGTGAGATGACAGTCTTTTTCTTTCTGCATATTTTCAAAGACAGCACAGAGCCTCTTCAACATGATATATCAGTAATTTCATGTAAGCTGGAGAATTATCTTTTAATATATATCATCAGTATATTTAAGTTTCATTTTATATCAGTTTGATAAAATTAAACTGGGCCTGCTTTCTACAAGTGTCTTGGATGTTTTCCATTTCTGTAATTGTAACATCTACTTACTGCACATTAGAGGCCTGGCAGAAGTCTATGCTATCCTTTGTTGTATGAATGTCACTGAACTTTGTTCAAGTTCTCCAACCTTATGCAGAGTTTAACAGTATCAAACACAGAGGAGACTACTGTCTTTTTGTTAATATCCCAAAACCAAAATAAATGCAATAATGCTTGAGGAAGGGAAGCATTTCCTGACTCCTAGCTCAAGTTGGTACAAATAAAATTGCTGGATTATAGGAAATAAAGAGCTAAAAGTGATCCATCACTCCATCCTAGGTCAGCTGGTTCTCATCCTGCCTCTGGTTCTCACAGCACCAAATGTCACTTATTTTGCCATTTCTTCTGTTATTCTGTGAACAGCTGGTCTCCTGCACCCAGCAAACCTATTCTTCCTCCTCCTACAGCTGTTGGCTTCTTCAGATCTTCCTCCTCCTCAACCAAAAGTCTGTCTATCAAGGGGGTATCTTGTATGTCTGCAGAGCACCTGCCTTTCATTCCCCATCAGAAAAATGTATTGGCTGTATGAATTTCTAGCTGACAGCAGTATCATCCCTGAGCTGTGAGAGCTGATAGCTCACAACAACAGCCATGCTGTTCTGTCAGGCTTGAGGATAACACTATCTCCATGACAGCTAATGGTGTCATCCTAATTGTTGTTGATCCTCTTTCAGTCTTCTCACCGCTACCATCTTCAACTCTTCCTCTCCATCCTTCAGGTAGATGCAGCCACTTCTCCCATTTTTATTCAGTCCATCCTCTGGGTTCAGTTATTCGCTACTTGTGCGTTGTGACCAAGGGCAGGAGGTGTCCACCTGTGGTCTCTGACCAGATCACAGCAGACAGTACCCACCTGCTGCAGTGCTTCTCCAAGACTGCACAAAGTGCCGGTGACAAACTGCCCTTAGGCTCCTCAAGCCACAGCTGAATGTGTGGGGCTGCTCATCCTCCTCAAGCACAGGCCTGTTCTTCAGAAGCAAACTTCAAATCATCGTATCATAAAGGTTGGAAAAGACTTCTAAAACCATCTAGTCCAACTGTGAACCCATCCACACTATGCCCACTGACCATGTCCCCCAGAGCCACATCCACACCATTCTTGAACATCTCCAGGGTTAGTGACTGCACAACCTCCCTAGGTAGCCTATTCCAATATGTAATCACTCTTTCTGAGAAGCAGTTTTTCCTAATATCCAAATAATATCCTACATCCTTAAGGGATCCTCTCTTCAAGCACTGCAAATTCTAAAGCCCTAAATCTGTTAGACTGCCTGCAGTTCCTCTGCTTTCAGGCAGGAGAGGTTGTCGGTGGGAGCGATGATAATGTGCCGTGGCTGGGAAGACTCACCCAGCTGCTCTGCTGGAAGAGATGTGCAACCTGCTGGTGGGTGTTGAGGAGCAAGGTGCATGGTATTGCCAGGACGTGTCTGTTAGATCAGATGTTTCTGGGATGAATTGTGCAAGAGCACGCTCAGTGGTCAGCAGAAGTCACGCGACACCAGCTGGATGGAGACATCCTGCCAGAACAATGAAGCACATGAAGGTTAGTGACTTTCTCAGGCCAGTGGCTGGGAGATATCCAAGGAATGCAATGGAAATATGACTCCACTGGGATGCTGCCAGTGACTTAGGATCACATGCCTACGTGATGCTTAATATGCCATGCAGTGCCTCTGGGCGTCTGATGCCAAGCAAGAAGTTCATCCCTGTTGCTGGGCTCTGCACCATGTGGAATTCAGAGCAGGGAGCTGCAGCAGGCTGAGCAGCTCAAGCCCATCAACTGGGGTTCAACTGACATGTTGTGCTTCTTTTCTCCTAACCTTCCTGCAAGAGAGACCGTCTGGGCTGCTATCAGCTTTGTTAAATGCATCTTACCTGAGACTGACAGCACCCTCTTCCGTTCCTCCAGCAGTTCCTTTCCTATCATCAAAAGGCAGTGGGCGTGTTATCAGGCAGCAGTTTTGCTAAATCATAAGATTCCCTCAATTCACATTTTAGAATGCATGTTTTTAACCCTTGAAGCTCCAAAACCAATTTTAACAATTTGAAACACCTTAATTTCAGCATCAGAGTGAGTGACTTCCTCTCCTTCAAATGTATCCTGGAAATCCAAAATTTCTTTCCAGAATTGCATTTTTGGCTGCCTGAGAGGTGCTTTTTGAATGCCTGTGGGGGAAAGGACAGCAAAGAAATTTCAATAGACAGTGGATAACCTTTTCCATGATGAGACTGTCCTGGAAAAATGCTTGCAAACACAGATAATAATTAAATATGAGGTAGGAGGAGCCTTTTGTTAGGCTGTGAATGACAGGTTGTTCTTCTGATGGCCCCAAGATGCTCAGGATCATGGAACTGTGCTGTGTAGCATGCAGAGACATGAGGTTCCCAGGGAAATGCTTCTAGTGGAAACTTTTGGACAGCTTTCCATAATTTATTTTTTTTGCAACGTCAAGGTATTAAAACATAAAGTGAGCCAAAAAAGATTTGTTAGTTCTCTAGGATCACGATTCCTGGCTAGTTTTATGCCTCCATCAGCACTGTGGGGTCCAAACTCCTAAGGTTCCTTTCATAGCAGTAATGCAGATAAGAAACCTTGCCCAATTGGAGAGAGAGTAACATCCAGGAGAGCTGGTAGCCAAAGAAAAGACACGGGTGGCAAAAATACAAATAAAGACAGCAATTTTTATAGATGCGCATTAGATGTCTTTCTAGATCTGTGGTGAGGAAAGTCTGCAAAGGAAATATTAATTACCGCAGAAAGAGTTAAATAAGCTCTGCCAGAGGCAGCAGAAAAGCCCATGACAAAATGTTGTTGTTAGCTTCGACAGTCAACATGTCGTAAAAAGATCAGGGTGAAGTATTTGTAAAATTTTGAATGACAGAAGTCCACAAGGTGTGTCATTTTAAAATAGACACAGGAGCGCAAACAGAGCGCTGCACAAAGTTAACAGAGATCACGGAAAGTAAATGGAATCAAATCCCATTGCACAATAGAAGGGCATCTAGAGCGCGGGGTTCTGTCAGCTCGCCAATGATGTGAGAGTGGGTACGGTTCAGACAAAGAGGCCGTGCCCTACACACATTTGTTCTGTGGATGCTGGGGCTGCATGGGCAGCCATCTCTAAAGTAAGGCAAGGAGAGGGGACAATTAAAGGAACAAAGGAAAATGTGCTTGACAAAACTCTTCCTGCAACATACCACGTGCAAGTTTTCTCAGGTTTGAGGGAGATCACTGCGCTCAGTCTCACTCCCTGCATTAATGCCTAGAAAATCTCTGCAAAGGTCCTGATAGGCAAGAAGAAAAAATCAGGAAGCTCCATAGTGCTGGGAAGAGATGGAAAGGCAGGTCTTGGGGTTTTTTTTTGGTCCAAGGGCCTAAAGAGAACCAAGGCTCTGCCTAATTTTGAGATAACTGAATGCAATAACATCATGGATCTGCATCCCCCAGCGCAGGCTCCCATGATGCTAGCCTAGCAGGCAACTCCTCAGCCCTGGTGCAGATGTGTTGACTTCAGTGATGCGAGCTCTTGTCCACATGGGGTCACAATGAAGCTCTGTGAGGGACGTGCCAGCTCGCAGATCCCATCTGTTCAAAGCTGGGTACCTCCTATTGCTAAAATTATAATCTGGCTGTTAGTGAGCGAGCCTTGTGAATACAATAAGCAAGTATTTGGTTATCTCCTTCAGGCATTTTACCCCTTGTGTTTGGCAGGACCTCATGCATATTACTGCCATTGTTTTGGATGCACACTTTCTCACTGCTGGCAAGTTTTGCTGTAAACTCAAGAGGGAAGCAGGAAAGCCATTCTCAGATTCTACTTAGAAGAATTTTTAAAGGCCAGGACAAGCTGCTAGAGGGGAAATCTGTCAGAATGGGGATTTTAAGAAAATAAGTTGATGCCAAAATTCAATACAAGAGGATGGAGGCTTTGATGTTGGCAAATCAATTCTTGGTGCTCAGATGGATGGAACTACAAGAATACAAAGAATTATTATTAAACTAAACACTGGGTTATTCAGAGGCATAAAACAATGAATTACAAAGGAGAAGACCTCAAGTCTTCCTTGCAACAGCACACCAGTGAGTGTGCTGGGAAGGCTGATGATTCTCCCAGCCAGGGAAAGGCTGATGCTGCTCACATGAGCGTTCCCAAGATCTCAAGCAATTTATCTGATATTCTGGATTTACAAGCCACCAACCAGTGAAAGGAACAGGACCTGCGTGAAGCTTCTTTGCTAAGCAAATGAACAAAGAATAAAGAAAAAGAGGAGCCAGCACAAAGATCCTCTGAGCATGTCTGAGGAAATCCATGTGCTGGTGTCACCCTCAGGCTTGTGAATGAGTGGGTCCCACGTGTTTCACTGACACCTCACAGCCCCCTGGGAGCCTTGCCAGGAGGATCCTGATATGCCCCAGGACCTGTCACCAGAAAGTGTTTCCCAGCCTCCACCAGAGGTAAATGGCTTTCTCCTCGCCACTGCTTGTACTGTGGAATTCACAGTCCGATTTACAAGCCCCTCTGAGCTATTAGTGGTGCAGTCGATAAGCCAGGAAACATTACAGAAGCTGCCCCCCTGCATCTGTGATTTATGTTCCTTGCTAAATATAAAACTCCCAAGGCTCTACACATCAATATTTTGGAATGAAGCACATGGAAATATTTGATGGATTGAGAGAACAAATCTCCGTGGCCAGCCACTCACACTTGCCCTTTTGTGAGCAATCTGTCTTTCCCCGCGGCAGAAAGGAATTTGGGCACAACAGCTGGAGTTTCAGTATCTCTGCATGCTTTATTCGTGAGGGAGCCTGGAGCCAAGCCATCGAGGCTCTGACCATCCACAGATGAAACTGTAGCATCAAGGGTTGCAAGAAGGACTATTTGTCCTCCACCACACACCCCACACTGCAGCCCCAGTGACCCTTCTACAGATCATGCCAGAGTTCTACAAGGGCTCTACATTCTCTCCTTGTTGTGCTCTGGGATGATACCTGCCTATCTGAGTAGCTGCTGCTCTGA